GGGAACACCTGAGCTCTCCTGAGTTAACGGAAGTGGCAGACACACTCTACTTGACTGCCTCCCCATCACAGACCTCAGATCAGCTGTTACGTTGTGCGTGCGATCACGTGTGCACCAATTCAGAAGCTTCTCAATGAGAAGCCTCTGATTGGTTGTACAGAACACTGGTGAGACCTCACTTGGAGTATTGTACACAGTATTGGAGACCGTATCTTCAGAAGGATATTGATACCTTAGAGAGGGTTCAGAGAAGGGCTACTAAACTGGTTCATGGATTGCGGGATAAAACTTACCAGGAAAGGTTAAAGGATCTTAACATGTATAGCTTGGAGGAAAGACGAGACAGGGGGGATATGATAGAAACATTTAAATATATAAAGGGAATCAACACAGTAAAGGAGGAGACTATATTTAAAAGAAGAAAAACTACCACAACAAGAGGACATAGTCTTAAATTAGAGGGACAAAGGTTTAAAAATAATATCAGGAAGTATTACTTTACTGAGAGGGTAGTGGATGCATGGAATAGCCTTCCAGCTGAAGTGGTAGAGGTTAACACAGTAAAGGAGTTTAAGCATGCATGGGATAGGCATAAGGCTATCCTAACTATAAGATAAGGCTAGGGACTAATGAAAGTTTTTAGAAAATTGGGCAGACTAGATGGGCCGAATGGTTCTTATCTGCCGTCACATTCTATGTTTCTATGTTTCTATGTTTCTATGTTTCCCTGGGAAGAGACTAAAAGTCTCTTCTCTTCTGGGGAAAATGAGGAGGGCTTGCTAAGGTTCATAAGGTCTGCAGCCTTTGCACAATATTTTAAGATATATCCCCAATGAATACATGCCTGAAAATTAATGCATGTATCTATTGAGGGTATATCTACTGTACAGTAATTTTCTTTTTTTTCTTGTGGACAGTGGAGTGCTCCTTTAAGTGTGGAATTTTGTTTTCAGTTTCACTATAATTCTCTGCAGACTGAGTAAACCCCACAGTGTACGTTGAACGTTTAAAGGTAGAGAGAGCACAGTAACTTCCTCCAGTGGCATCTTTCAGTATTAGGAGTTATACGTCCCTAGGAAATATTCCAGATATTCCCCCCCCCCCATGACATTTCCATTTTGAGTGTTTTTGACCATCTTTTTTCACAATCTTCCTTTTACTTCTTTCCCATGGTCTTTTTTGTTAGTCTCCTGTTGCACTTTACCTTATCTTAAAGGGACACTATAGTCACCAGAACAACTACAGCTTAATGAATTTGTTCTGGTGAGTAGAATAATTATTTTCAGGCTTTTTACTGTAAACACTGTCTTTTCAGAGAAAATGCAGTGTTTACATTACAGCCTAGTGATAACTTCACTGGCCACTCCTCAGATGGCTGTTAGAGATCCTTCCTGGGTCATTGCTGCCTAAAATGCATCAAAACATTCAGTGTCAACATCCCTCTGCATGCAGACACTAAGCTTTCCTCATATAGATTCATTGATTCAATTCATCTCTATGAGGAGATGCTGATTGGCCAGGGCTGTGTTTGAATTGTGCTGGCTCTGCCCCTGATCTTTGTCAGTCTCAGACAATCCTATGGGGAAGCAAGAAGAATATGAAGCACAGGAGATCATTGACTCCCATATGTCATGTGGATCCCTTCAGTATTTGGGGCATTTGGTTACAGGCCTGAGGAATAATCCTATATGTACACACACCCAGGCTCTCTTTATGCAAGGTACCTTTCTCGTCCTGGTGGTGCCTGCCCAGTGGGCATTCCTGCTGGAGGCGTACTATCATGCCTCACAAGCCTTCCAGATGTCATGCACATGTTTTAACACAGTGCATCAATCTGGTGTCGATTTTGACATTGATCGCTTAGGTGCACCCTCTGTTTACTTTATTGACTATTCTTAACTCTGGACCTTGGCTCTGTTTCTTATTTATCCATATCTCTGTAATCCTTGACTTTGTGTTCTATACTTACCTAGGTTAAGTCTGGTCAATCTAAGGACTGTTATCATATGCACTAGCTCAATGGTCTTAGGACAAACAATCAGGCAAAAAAAAAATTGAAGGTAGAAGTGGTAATTTATTCCCATATAAAAACACTTTACAGTACTTCACCATAGACAAGTGAGTAATGAAAACAACTCCCACGTTACAAAGCTATTAGGAGGAACCATTAATTGCAAACATGAAGAAAATGTTGAACAACTAAGTAGTGATAACATAAGATGTCAAACACACTGAGTTCATAATGGTAACAGTGACCCAACATGGCAACATATTAAATTAAGCACAGTAATAAATTTTCTTTGCTTCGTATAGGACTCCCTCTACCTTGATGTGTTGGGGCAGGGCCGGATTAACATAGGGGCTGATGGAGCTGCAGCTCCAGGCCCAGGCCCAGGCCCATGGAATAGGCCCATTGATTTAAAAATATATATATATATATTTTTTTTTTTACATTTTTTTTTTCACACACTACTCTTAGGGATTCCACCTGGCTTTTATTTTATTGGCACAGACAGTATTTGAGGCTGCCTGGCTGGTGCCAATATTACAGTGATACTGGCAATACAAATGCTGGTATTTTTCTCAATATAAACAAGAGATTACTATGCAATACCAGCACTTGCTAGTAGGGGTAGCTGTGTGTGGAGACAGCCAGGGATAGGAAGTTCCAGCATATCCCTCCCTGCCTATCTATACTCACTGATCTGCAGGGGTGCAGCTACAGAGAGTCCAGACAGCAACTCCCACCATGCAGAGACAGCCTACAGCTCAGGGAAGTAAGGGATGGTGGGAAAGGCTGCAAGGAGACATACACTGAGACACTAAGGGACATTGAGAGACATTATGACACAGACACATGGGAACACAGTGTCCCCATGTCTCCCAGTGTCCCCATGTCTCCCAGCCAGTGTCCCTGGTGTCTCAGTGCCCCCTAGTCTCCCAGTGACCCCTAGTCTCCCAGTGTCTCACTGTCCCCATGTCTCCTAGTGCCTCCATGTCTCCCAGTGCCTCAAGTGTCTCAATGTCCCCATGTCTCCAAGCTAGTGTCCCTAGTGTCTGTGGTTGTGGTGTCTCAGTGTCCCCATGTCTCCCAGTGTCCCCATGTCTCAATGTCCCCATGTCCTCCAGCCAGTGTCTCTAGTGTCTGTGTCCCCATGTCTTCAAATGTCCCCTATTTTCCCAGTGTCACTGGTGTCTCTGTGTCCCTAGGTCTCCCCGTGTCCCCAGGTCTCCCCGTCTTCCTAGTGTCCTAGTGACACATACATGGGGACATAGACACATGGGAATACTGGAGGACACAGGGAGACATGGGGCATTGAGACACTGATACATAGGGACACTGTGATACATAGGGTCACTGGGAGACCTGGGGACACGACACTAGGGGACACTGGGAGACATGGGGCACTGAGACACTGATACATAGGAACGCTGAGACCTGGAGTAATCGACACATGGGGGCACTGGGAGTAATCCATCTATACAGCATAATCAAACTAAGTAGTTTTTTGGTGATTTTACAGCATTTTCTCTTATGTCACTCCTTGTGATTTACATCATGTGATGTCACCCATACATATTTAATTATGCAAATTAGTAAGGCCGGTATGTTTTTCCAACAAAGGTGGCAACCCTAACTACTTTTCACATACTCTTACTTAAGTATGAAAGCTTAAGAGGGATGTATGGGAACAAAACTTGTGTGGACTGGCTGACAATGAATATAGTTAAAGGGACACTATAGTCACATGAACAACTACAGCTTATTGAATTTGTTCTGGTTAGTAGAATCATTACCTTCAGGCTTTTTCCTGTAAATACTGTCTTTTCAGAGAAAATGCAGTCTTTACATTACAGCCTAGTGATATCTTCACTGGCCACTCCTTGGATGGCTGTTAGAGATCCTTCCTGGGTCATGGCTGCCTAAAATGCATCCAAACATTCAGTGTCTCCTCCCTCTGCATGCAGACACTGAACTTTCCTCATAGAGATTCATTTATTCAATTCATCTCTATGAGGAGATGCTGATTGACTAGGGCTGTGTTTGAATCATGCTGGCTCTGCCCCTGATCTGCCGTTTTGTCAGTCTCAGCCAATCCTATGGGGAAGCACTGTGATTGGATCAGGCCACCACTTCTAATGATGTCAGCAGACTGCTTGTTTTTCTGAGTCTAACAGCATGCAGAGTTACAGCTTCAGGCTTGAATACAGTAAGATTTTTACTATATTTATGGAGGCATGAGGGGCCCAGGGGGGTTAGATGGTGGTGTTAACACTATAGGGTCAGGAATTCATGTTTGTGTTCCTGACCCTATACTGATCCTTTAAGGTAATGCTGACTTTGGTCTCTCTAACACTGTGGCATGTTCCCTTTCTTCTACACTCACTACATATAGCTTTACTCTGTCCCAGACTATATACCAGGAGCGTCTGCCTGCTAGTAAGAAGGTAAGGAGACAAGTGGACCAGCGAGTGCTAGGGGACAGTCCTTTAGAAAGCGCTGAGCAAGCGCATCATTAGATGCATTTATGCCAAGCTCAGGGTGCTGTCTGCATAGTATGCCCTTAGTTGGCCAGCTGCATGATTGTCAGGCAGTCTGACATGCATTCATGCCAGGCTGGCCTTCAAATTCTTTGGGCAGACATGTCCTCTTTTTGGGCATGTTTGCCCCTTTTGGCAGGTTACGTGATTTGTGTCAGTGGCACGCCCTTTTACCGTGCCCATTGACTTCCTGCTTGTCTGGACACTGCTGTTAGGGGTTATGGATTTACTTGAAAAATGAAAACATAAGTTAGAGGGAGATTAGCATAGGGTATGTGTTTTCTTATAGCTGCTGTTTTCTTTCTCTCCAGCACCATCTCCATCAGATACATGACGCTTGGAAGTGTTTTAGTGTTTTTGGTCGATATGATTCTTTAATTAGGCCCGTCATAATTGTCAGCACCAGGCCCACTGGGCTCTTAATCTGGCCCTGTGTTGGGGTATACCTGCCTTGACACTAGGACAATCCATTTGAGTGTGGATGCAACCCCTTAATTTTAATTAACTATTTTTGTGAATAAAAGTTTTATTCGTCACCACATATAATCAAGTGCAGTTATCAAGGAAAGCATGCATCAATGGCAACAATCATTTTTAGAACACGTACAGTAACTGTGCAAACAGCCACGCAGGACTGAGGTAATGTCATCAAAAAGAAGCAATGCGGAAACTGGGACCCTTGAGTCCTTCATCAATAAGCATTATGCTCATATAAACAGGTGATATAGGCACTTTAAAAGGATGTCACTTCCCCAAGCTCCCAATCAACTATCTTTAATCAATCCCTAACTATGTGCAATTAAGCGAGACTGGGTAGACCCATCCTTAACACGCTACTGTCAGCAGGGGATGGTTGAGGTCACTAAGGCATCAGGCATGTCAACTGCCAAATTTGGTCCAGCACCTTGACATGTACCAGAAAGCTCCTCATATCATATCCAATGGTAGGCCTCTCTCTGCCAGGGACCCGGAGCCTGTGTCCCAACTGGCCGTACCTCCACTGTCATCCCCAACCCCTCAGCCATGTCTATTGGGGAACCGTACGTCAGCAAAGCCTGGAAGTCTGGGTGGTAAGCGTCAAGCAGCCAGTGAGTCCAAATATCTGTGTATGTCTGTGTACGCCCTTTGGACGCAAAAGTCAGCTCTTCTAACCGTCGTAGGTCCTCCATTTTGTCAAACCATAATGTCAGGGGCAGGGGATAATCTGTTTGGACATGTTCAGAATCTGTATGTATTTGGAGGTTGGAGTGGTGGTGTGATGTAGGAGTAATGGTGCCGGTGTGAAAGATAGTGGGTTGTCCGAGAACTTCCTGAGGATGGCACTAATTGCCCTCCAGAAAGGTTGAATTTTATGGCAATCCCACCATACATGCAGGAATGTGCCCAATGTGGCCCGACAGTGCCAACAGTCGCTGTCTAAGGTGGGGTTACTCTTCTGGAAGAGGAGCGGTGTTTTATATCATTGTGTTAAGACTTTATAGGCTGTCTCCTGAGTTTTGCTAGCAAGCGCGCAGTGATGCACTAGATCGCAAATCTTCCCCCATTTGTTGTCTGTGAGGGTTTCCCAGGGGGCCACTTCCCATTTCCCCATGTAACTAGGTGACGGTGAGTTCCCTTGTCTTTACAATTCTGTTTGAAGGAGGTAAGGGTCTGGTTGTTGAGGTATGTGGTCGAGAGTTCATACTTAAACTTATGCAAGAATGTGCCTGCGGTGTCCCCCAATAAGTCCTCCAAGTTCTTGAGTCCCTTCCCTTTAGTCATGTGGCAGATTGGAACTGTGTGTGTTGAAAGAAGCAGGTGTTGTGTCTGCACCCCAAGACCGGTTCTAGTTTGAGAATATCCACTGTGAGCTGTCTCACTCCTGCTTCCCTCTCCCATTTTATCTGGGTGCCCCTGGCCATAAAGAAACCCCTAACTATGCACTTGTGTGCTTCCCAAATGGTCTGGAGCAGATATCTCGGGCATCGTGTTTTCCGCAAAATAGTTTGTCAGTGTGTTGTTTGCATCTGACAGGACTAGTGGGTTGCTAAGAAGGGTCTTGTTTAGTCTCCAGTTAACTGTCTTGGGTTTAGAAAGTGGGTTGGCCAGACTTAGTGTGAGGGGGGCATGGTCAGACCAAGTGGTGACACCAAGGGTGGCCTGGGTAACAGTAAGTAGGTAGTAGTAGGGGACAAAAAAGTTATCTATATGAGAATACCTAGCATGTGGAACAGAGTAATGTGAGTAGGCCCTACCGTCGAGGTGCATAGCCCGCCAGCAGTCAGTTAAGCGGTGCATGAGGAGTAAGCTTCTAATCATCCAAAATTTGTTTTGCAAATGTACAAGAAGCTGAGATCCCCATATGTTATGCAGCAGCCCAGGGGTGAAATTGAAGGTAGATGTACTTTGCTGAAGTTCCTCTCATGGGTACTGACATCTTCAGACACTGGTGCTTCATCTGCCAGGAGCCGTCGTTAATGCTGTACTCACGTGAATACATGAAGATTCAAGACCGAGGTCTGACATGTATGAGAATTGCCTTAAAGGCTTACTCCAACCTTAAGGGGTAGGTTTCTTTCCTGTGTGAAGAACTATGGAAAAGCTCCACCCCCACCCCCCTACCCCTCCCATGGAAGAAAAAAAAAGTTTACTTAACTAGAATCTAGTGCCAGGGAGTGAGGATCTGAGGGTAGAGCAGAGTGCCTGCAAGGTTAAGATGTTTACGTCTGTGTGCAGTGTGTGCTGACAACCGAATTTTTTAATGCTCAGAATTAACATTAGCATCCCGAAAAGAATTGTGGACTTCCAATGTCATGTGTGCTCGGGGGGGGGGGAGGGAGCGGTATCTAGCCCCCAGCTCACAAGTGCACCTAACTTTAGTATGTGCAGCACAGTTGTGCACAGCTCATTTCATTAGGGTGCACACCATGATATTCTTTCCCTATGTTATTTTTTTTAAGGTTATGTTATGTGAATATTTATTAAAATATTGAGTGGATGTGTGGTGTTGATATGTGTCTTGTGTAGCGTGGCCGTAAGTGTTGTAGCTGTGTGTCAGGTATGTGTTGTGGCTTATTGTGTGTGATGTGTGTGAGGCTGCATGTTGGAAGCTGTGTGGCTATGAGTGATAAGTTGTCACAGTACCTGTCCCTCGTGGCACCATGTGATCACATATATTATGTATTTTCTAAGTTCTGATGCATCCACACTCACCCCTAGCTTCCCAGTGCCTTCTTATGACATAATATATGACATGGACCCCTCCCAGTAGTCTCCTTTTATAGTGTTAGCCCATGTGCTTCTTTTTGATGATGTAAACAGAGTTGTGACATCACAGTCCTCTGTGACCAATCACAGCCCAGTATAGGGCATATGAACTTCTTGGTTGTCCTTGTTTACTTGCCCTGTCATGATTCTTTTGTTACCTGAGAGTGTGTTTATACTGTGTATTGATTTTCTGTTTTCCGACCTCGGCTTGTTTAACCCTTCTTGCTCTCTGTTTTCCTGATCTTGGCCTTGCCATCGATTTTGTGTATTTCTGTTATCCTGACCTCGCATTATCTTTTGTTTATTCTCTGCTTGCAGAAATTTCATATATCTATCTCAGGCACTAACCAATAGTTTCCTATAGTGCCCCCCTCGGCACAGATGTCCCTTGGAGCGGGGTCAAGCTCCTCCTTCGGCGCTTGCATTAGGCTTCCCCATAGGAAAGCACTGTATCAATTCTTTCCTATGGGGATTTAGCAGATGCCTGATGTCCTCATGCATGAGGATAGCGTGTGGACATCCAGCATCAGTTAGGTGACTTTTGGTTGCCTAACTACCCTGAAGTCCCTCTAGTGGCTGTCAGGTAGACAGTCACTAGAGGTAGAGTTAATCCCTCAAGGTAATTATTCCACTTTCTGAGAAACTGCAATAATTACACTTGCAGGGTTAAAGAGATTGGGACACTGCACCCAGACCACTGACCTAAGCTGAAGTGGTTTGGGCTCATATAATGTCCCTTTAAGCATACACTCTGACACACATATTCACTGACAGACACACACTGGCAGATACACACTGACAGTCAGACACACATTTATTGACAGACACACATTGGCAATTACACACTTAATGACAAACACAGACTCACTGATTTGACACACACATTCACTGACACACTCATTGACAGACGCACACTGACACTCATTGTCAGACACACTGATAGTCACACAATCAGAGACCCTCACTGATTTGATACACACACACACAAACACACATGCATTAACAGACACTCAGACACACAAACTCACAGACATACACACACATACATACACATATACTCACAGACATACACACTCAGACATAAACACACACATACTCACAGACACATACACACACACACACACTCACAACTTAATAATGTAATAAAAAAATTTCCACCCAGCCTCCCTACCTGGAGAGCTGGCGTGGATCCATCCCTGGGGTCCAGTGGTGGCGGTGGCTTACCACCCGAGGGAGCTGTGATCTCTCTGCTCTGCTCCCTCGCGCCACTCGGGCTGTCTACTGATGCTGGGAGCCAGAATTACGTCATATCCCGGCTCCCACTGTATCAGTAAACGGCGCACGAGGGAGCAGAGAGATCACAGCTCCCTTGCCACCTCGGATGGTAAGCCACTCGCTGGAGGGGGGGGTCTCTATTAACTGTCCAGAAGGTCAGCTCTTGGGCACCCCGCGCCCATGACAGGGGAAGCACAGGGGACACCTCAGTGGGCGTTTTAAGGCGGCATTTTTTGCCGCACCCTAAATAGTGTCGCCCAAGGCAAATGCCTAGTTTTGAAGTACAGACCAAGTTCTCCCTACTTCCCCTCAGAATCCAGGGCCAGCTTGGGACCAAGGCCAGCAGCTTTAGGGCTGGGAGGACAGCGCTAGTTAGGGAGACCTTTTGATCTCCCTGCTGTCTTTGTTCGGCAGCAGGCACTCCAGCTGTATACACACATCTGTGATGTGCAGATCAAGCAGAAACACTGCACATACATACTCCTATCATTATGACCACTTCAAATCACTGAAGTGGTCATGGTGGTTGGGGTAACCCTTTTACTTGATGGCAGTGACTTTACCTTTTGTCAGCATAAGGCTTGACTACAAGACAAAGTAGTCCCTGCTTTGTCTTAGGGTTTTCTTTGTGTTAGAATTTCAGTTAGATACCAATGCAGTCATTAATGAGTATTACATTAATATTTTATCTTTCTAAAATACTCATGTGACAAACCCCCATGACAGTGCTGTTAAAAACAAAAATGTTTTCAATGTATTTTCATGTATCCATTCACACTGACAAAACAATAGATCTGACGATGAATGGTGTTTATACCACCTGCTATCTGCAAATTGTCAGCTGCTTTCTATTTGTAAGTAACTGATATTCTGGGGCTCAGCCCACTGCATACTTGTAGCAAGGATTACACACTGAATGCAAGTAGGCGGAGAGATCAAAGAGGAACTTCCCTCATGTTCTGCAGTTTTATCCAACTACTAACAGAGGTTAAACTTCAACAACGTCCTCCAAACTGGTAATAAATGTATCCCTACATGGAATATATACAGAAATAAACAATAATATGTACAATGTAACTACACAATGCAACACATATCCTGTCCACCAGGGAAGTAACAAAGTATAAGTGATGCAATGTCTCACTGACTGGTGAATCACCTTCAGCCTTAATTATCTCGTTGTGTATGTGGCTCACCAGCTGCACGTGGTGAGCCACATACCGCGTCTCAATAGAGATACCACGGGGAGGGGATAAAGTAGCTGACTGAGTACTAGGTGCTACAAGGTCTATCAATGTGTGTATTTATAAACAGTATAGAGTGCGTGTAGTGTATAGGAGGTATAGACTGTGTGTGAGTGCAAGGGGTGCAGTGTTGTCTTTATAGACCGTGTGTATAGGGGACGTAGTGTCACAACTAAAGAGGAACATGTCCAGCTCACTGCACACCATGAGACGATTAGTTGGAAGTGTGGTATTTAGAAGCCTATTTAGTGAAATATCTCGTGTGTTTAGCACTCTGTGGAGGCATTGATTGGGAGGACGTGATATGATTCTGTTTTAGTGCTCTTGGCAAAACAATGCTTACTACCGTACCGTAAAACAGGAGAGTGTAAAAAGCCAGTATACCAGGCATGGGTGCGGTCACCCCTATACCTTGTAATGTGCAGTTCTGTGTGTTCTAATAGATCCTGGAGAAGCACTGTGCACAGAGTGCTGTGTGTTCTAATAGATCCAGGAAGAGCACTGTGCACAGAGTGCTGTGTGTTCTAATAGATCCTGGAGGAAAGCTGTGTGTTCCAATACATGCTGGAGGAGCGCTGTGAACAGAGTGCTGTGTGTTCTAATAGATCTCGGAGGAGCACTGTGTACAGAGTGCTGCGTGTGCTAATAGATCCTGGTGGAGAACTGTGCACAGAGTACTGCGTGTTCCAATAGATCCTGGAAGAGCGCTGTGCACAGTGTGCTGTGTGTTTCAATACATGCCGGAGGAGCACTGTGTACAGTGTTCTGCGTGTTTCAATACATGCCGGAGGAGCACTGTGTACAGTGTTCTGCGTGTTTCAATACATGCCGGAGGAGCACTGTGTACAGTGTGCTGCGTGTTTCAATACATGCTGGAGGAGCACTGTGTACAGTGTGCTGCGTGTTTCAATACATGCTGGAGGAGCACTGTGTGCTGCGTGTTCCAATAGATGCTGGAGGAGCACTGTGCTCAGAGTGCTGTGTGCTCTAATAGATCATGGAGGAGCACTGTGCTCAGAGTGCTGTGTGCTCTAATAGATCATGGAGGAGCACTGTGCTCAGAGTGTTGTGTGTTCTAATACATCATGGAGGAGCACTGTGCTCAGAGTGCTGTGTGTTCTAATAGATCCTGGAGGAGCAGTGTGGTGTTCCAGTACATGCTGGAGAAGCGCTCTGCACAGAGTGCTGTGAGAGCAGTAAGTTGCTATATGAAGAGCATTGCTGACCTGTATCTCAGAGAGGGGAAGTGCAGTCACTTTATACTATGTATTAAGCAGTACAAGGAATTTAACTACAGTGAAAGCTGTAAACAGCAGGATATAAGGGAGGTGGGCTTGTGTGGAATATTAATCTTAGAAGTAAAGAAGAAGAATTTTACTAATAAAAAGAATTGCCAGATGAACCATGTTTCCTGCTATGTGCAGCACATGAGAGGTGCTGATCTGTAGTATGTAATATAAAGCTTTTAGGTGGTCCATAAACAGGGCCAGTGCAGGGATTTTTGCCACCCTAGGCAAACAAAAATGTGCCGCCCCCCATATGCTCTGCCCACCATGTGACATAATACCCCACCCATATCTGCCATATGAGCCAACTCCAGTGCTGCACGCAGTGTCTTTTCTCTGTAAAGGCAGTGTGTTTACATTAAAAAGCCTGCAGGGACAGGCTATAGACACCAGAACCACTACATTAAGCTGTAGTGTTTTTGGTGGCTATAGTGTCCCTTTAATGTGAGGTAAATTAGAGATTAGTGCCACTAATAATATAATGGATTGCCTACTTACCACCAGATGAGGACAAGAGGATAATGATGGGTCAGGCTGCAGTCTGGTGTTAAAACAGGCTCTCTGGAGGCAGTACTCACAAAAATCAACGAACACGAAGCAGCTCCAAGTCCTGACTCTGAGTATGAAAACAAGGAAGTACACAGTGATAAAAAAATGTGGTAGCTCTTTAAACACCTATAAAGTGGTACCCCTTACACCACTATAAAAACAAATACAATACATACGAAATAGTAGGTGGAGCTGTGTAATGTCCTATATCTGTAAGACAGAATAAATGCAAATAGCGTAGAGAGTCTGCACAAATAATAATAGAAGTAAAAATAAAATCGTTGAACTCACAAGGTTGGAGTCATACCATCATATGACTCTAGCGGTATGTTCCTTTGGACCATTAAGGGGTTGTCCAGACCCTTCTATCGTTGGTTACTGGATACTCCTCTTTAGTGGTTCTTTGTGTGTCCCCCAAGGAATTCTCAGTATGTTGCTTATTCTTAAAATAGATATTTCTTTATTTCCAATATAAAATGTTAACAAAAATTAACAGTAAACAAAAATACTATACCAATAAATATTGGATATAGATAATCTAATCTACCTTATCTATATCCAATATTTATTGGTATAGTATTTTACACTTGCAGGGTTAAGGGTAGTGGGAGTTGGCACCCAGACCATTCCAATGGGCAGGTTGCCTGAAGTGTCCCTTTAATGTGTCACTGTTATATTCAGATTATTAAAATACATATTTTTATCATATTAAATACTTACATTTTCTTTTAATGAATTATTTTTTTAGAGTTTGTTTCTTCAGATTAATAGTTTCTTGTCTGCTAGTCCATTGCCAAATGGAATTTCAACCAGCTCTCTATGAGAATGATTACTTAAGTGTTAACTCATATCATCCCTATCCTTACTAATAGCCACATCCAATCACACTTGTAATTTATGGCCAGGATTTCACTTTGTATTTGGTACTATTTATTAGGGATGTGCATGGAAAAAATATTTGTTCGGCATTCCGAAATTTGGGACTTCAGGACTTCGGGTAGGGGTAGTGTTAGGTGTGGGGTTAGGAATAGGGGTAGGGTTACCCCAACTACTAACCCAACCCCTAACCCTAACCCTACCTCTACCCACACCACTAACCCTATCCTAACCCCAACCCTCTCCTGTTCTGCCACTTTTCAAAAGTCCGAAGCACTTCGACACTTCCGAAATTCGGGACTTTGGCAATTCAGTTCGGCGTTCTGAAATTCGGCACTTCGGGAATTTGGCAATTCGCCACTTCGGAAATTCTGAAGCATCCGAATGTCCAAATTTCTGAAATTTGGCCAAATTTGTATTCGGAACGAAACAAATTGCACATGTCTACTATTTATAGTATGTGGAGGTGCTCTGTATCTTTGGTGTACCGAGTGCTGATCAGTGGACCTTGGAATATAGAGCGGCTGCTTGTCTCAGTATACTGATAAATCAGGTCCTGCCTTTACTGGCTGTGTGGCTGGTGGACAAATGAAGGGGATATCCTGTGGTACACTGCTATTAAAGTGGTTGGCAAAGTACCTAGTGCACGAAATATGTTGTAATTTTACCTCCCTCGTGACTACAGCAAATTAATGGTTTTGACAACGCATTAATAATATATATGTCGTGGAGCTCCTGTAATCAGACTGAGTACCTCCTCATTCACTTCAGATCCTCCCCAGTGAGAGGATTGCAGTCATTTTCAGTGGATTTAATATTTTCGTAATAATACCTCAATGTTCAGCAGAGAGGTGCGATGTGATTGGTGATCAGGAACCTAGTTACACCCGTTTAAAGGTTAGCCATATCATGGTACCATTCTGATCTGCATTAACAGTTCCACAGAGTATCAGGTTGTCTCCTGGTTAGGCGCTCTCTGTATAAACAGGCAATGGTGCCCTTCAAATTTCACCCATCTCTAGTTTGGGGATTAAACAAGCCACCCTCCCTCCCAGTGGAGGTTCTTGTTGCTAAGGAAGACTTGGATTTCTCACTCCTAGTACCATATACATAGGTCACTAGAAGTGAGAAAGCAAAGTCTTACTTGGCCACTAGAACCTCTACTTCCAGATAGATTACATATTGAATATTTAGTGAGTCCACGGGGTAAACCATAGATCAAACTGATGCCTTGATTTAATCAGCTTTCCCTATGATTCAATACTTTTAGAAAATCTTTCTAAATAATTGATCTACTGAAATCACCATTACAGTTTACGGGATGTTTTAAAATTAAAGGACCCCTATAGGCACCCAGACAACTTCAGCTCAATGAAGTGGTCTGGGTGCCAGGTCCCTCTAGTGTTAACCCTGCAGCTGTAAACATAGCAGTTTCAGAGAAACTGCTATGTTTACACTAGGGTTAATCCAGCCTCTCACTGACAGCCGCTAGAGGCGCCTCCGAGAAATGCTTTTGAGAAATCCTTTCCTATGGGTGGTTTGAATGCCCGTGCGGCTCTTGCCGCGGATGCGCATTCGGCGCTGACGTCAGCAGGAGGAGGAGAGTTCCCCAGCACTGGAGAAAGGTAAGTGTTTTAACCCCTTCAGCCTTCAGAGTAGGACCCATGAGGGTTGGGGTGACCTAAAGTTTGTTTTCCTGGCACTATAGTGGTCCTTTAAGCATTTGTAATGGTTTTCTAACAGTATTGAATCATTTGGAAAGTCTATTTAAAATGAGGCATAATTTATATGTTACTCTCTAGCATCAGTAACTAATCTGTAACAGTTTCTGACTCTTGTCCGATATTGTTCTGTCCGTTATCAAAGTAATGACAATGGAAAATCCACAAACCATTTTTCTGCTAGTAACACTTTCGGAGTTAGAAAATGTTAACATTCTCTTAAACATTCTCATGAACTAACATGTTTCAATGGTTTTGTTAGTCACAACTTCTTTTCATCAGCATTAGGATTGGCAAAATTTGAGTATATAATGTATAGGTCATTTTTTTCAGTAATCCAATAATGGTAAATCTAGTGTTGTAGATTATCAGATTGCTGTTATTGATATAATTTACACATTACCCAGGCATGTCGCCAGAGCATAACTGGGGCATTATAACCACTACAGCAGGCTGTAATGCTTATGGTGCTTAAAAGGATCACACTTGCTCCTAATTTACATTAAAGGTACTTTAGATTCTCTGCTATGAGAGCTTTAAAATGGTCTTCCTGACTATATTCCAAATTCTATTTGTGCTCTGACATGTAAATGCTGCAATTTCTCAGACCAACCACTAGGTGTGCACTTTCCACCTGCAAGGTGTTGTTTGGTGGAGTTTAGTGGACTCGCTTCCAATAATCAGGTTTTTATGAATTTATGCTTAGCAAAGGTATCCTGATTTAACAAATTCTGAGTATGGAAAAAATTAACTTCTGAAGATTAATAATATTGCACTCTGTCAGGAAGTATAAACCGTATTAACTCTTAATAGAAAAACCCCAAAAAAGTCCAAAGTTAAAAAGCAAAAGAATATGCCTGTCGCCGTTCATTCCTCATCAGCTCAGTCCAGTCTTTTACTGCGAGAGTCCAAGTTCACGTAACAGAATGATGTAATCACATTTTGCTACATTTGTTTTCTGAATGTTTGTATTCTTCAGTCCTCCATAGAGTCAGTTGCATTACCCTGTACTATAGATTCTTGCAACCTCTTCAAAATTGCAGTACCTTTTTTTTTATGGGTTTGTAAATGCTCTCAGTATATAGTATATTCATATGATGTAATGGTGACACTGAGGTCTTTTGGGAAAATGTCATACTCTGACCTGCATGCGCCAAACACAAAGCTTATTCGATCTCTGAAATCTCTGAAAATAGGCTGTCCAACACAGAAAAGCAGGCATGGGCACCCACAGAAAAGGCTAGTCAGTCTGATAGCCTCCCAGCTGGGCTCACTTAAACAGACCACGTATAGAGCACTGCAGCTCCTAATGATACACCCACACTGTTGAGGTTGGAGACAGTTCCCTTGTATCCTGCATCCCGAGACACCAGGAAACAAAATAGGAACCGTGGGAGAGGACCCCGAAATCGGACTATCCCACCAAAATCAATACATTTGTCAGGCCTTCTGTACCATGGCTGTGTAATTCAAGCGCGAATAAATACTGAGAAATAAAATCTGCTGAAACAGCAAGGTGAATTATTGGTGTAGAACTCATCTAAGAGGTTTGCTTTGACGTGGCAGGCAAATTTACACTTTAAGGGCCATTGCAGTGGTACTAAAATCCTCTATTTTAATGTGCATAGAGATTTGAGAAAGTGTGCAGGTACCTTGTTTTGCTCCCTGTAAATTCTGGATGCATTGATTACTGGAATATGCTTTTGGTTTAATTTGTCCTGTTATTCTAAAACTTCACAAAGGCAATTCATAAGATTAACACGTTGTTTTCAGTTCTGCTTGTAAAAGCTATCATGCGAACAAAAATGTTGCCACAAGTATCTTTAGGGAGCAAAATTACTGTCAGAACAACTTC